TTAAGAACCAATGTCCCAAAATTTAGTTTTTTTGTAAAAGAGTAAACAAAACACAGTTACAAGTAACACTGAAACATTGCCATGAAAGAAATCTATCACAGGCACAGGAGAAACTCAATAAATAAAAAAAATCTATAAAAATAGGAATACAAGTGAACAGAATGTCAATCTGCAAAATTTGAAAACATAAATCAACATAAACCTGCACATGATTAGACTACATTATTTGTCAAAGGCATATTGTTTGGAAAGACATCTGGATTAACTGAGCTATAGAGGTAGAGGGGGTTCGAGAGGGTGAGGAAGGAGGCTTTCCAAAGGGAGATTGATCCCATAGCCTCCAAATAGAGTGATAGTGTCCTGGGTCCGGAGGAAGGAGCCGGACCATGGCTTGGAATGGGAGCTTGATGTGAGGGCTCCTGGCTCCCAAGCACCTCCAGTGTCCTGCAGAGAAGGGGAGAGATGTGCAGGAAGCCCTGGAGATATTAGCTGGGGAGAGGGGGAGCCTGCCTGGCATGGACCGAGGACCTCCAGGAGTGGCGGCCATCACGGTGGGTCTTCCTGTGCTCTTAGCCCGACGCTATGTGTTCCCCGGAGCTCAGTGGATGCCAGGCGATCAGGTGATCTGCCGCAAGGGAGCTCTGGGAGGCAGAGGAGCCAGCCGGCGTTTCTTGGAGCAAGGGAGACGCCAGCTCTCTTCCTCCTGCACACAGGACCATGGCAGCTGGAGACATGCCGAAACGGGCTGGGTGAACCGCTCCCTGCAATCCACTCATTGTTTGAGGGGAATGTCGAGTGCAATGTTCCCCAGAAGAGAGTACCTGGAGCCATCTCACCCCTCACTTGGAGTAAAGAGATGTCCTACAGTGCGGGAAAGTCTCTCAGAGAAGTTCAATTTCTATAGAAACCAGAGATCTCACATGGGGGAGAAGTATTCCTGTTTCGAGCGCGGGAAATGTTTTTCATGTAAGTCCTATTTTTATATATACCAGTGATAATACAAGAGGCAGCAGCCATACCCTTGTTCAGAGTACGGGAAATGTTTTTCATAGAAGTCCAGCCTGCATATATATCAGAGACCTCACATGAGGAAGATGCTATATCCCTGTTCTAAGCTATTGTTCTCAAAAGGTGATTTTGCATGGGTACAGTACTGATATCCAAAATTGTGGGATCACCCTCCTAGCAGCTGTAAGAATATGTACTCCCAATCTTTTGGATAGCTTGGGAATAACCCGGAAAGGTAAGCCCAAAAGATAATGTAAAGGATCTAGAGGCAGGGCAACATTAAGTACTTGTTCCAGTATCGTTTGAACCATGGTCCAAGTTGATCCAGGGAATGTCCGATTGCCTCTCGGGGGATCAGGAAGGAATTTTTTCTCCTGCTGGAGCAAATTGGATCATGCTTTGCTGTTTTTTTTTGCCGTCCTCTGGATCAGCTGTTAGTATAGGATTATAACTTTTTTTTTCTATGGTTGAACTGGATGGACTTTTGTCTTTTATTCAGCCAGACTAACTGTATGTAACTATGGTCCTCTAGCCCTCAATCCATGGACAAAACCAAAAAACATGCACCAAGGTACCCACTCCTTACCTGCATTTCCAGCACCTATCAGACAGATTTTGGTTAAGTGCATCTGTGGTTTTTAAACTGCAATAAGTGTCTGTGTATAAACAGTCAATGAGTTTGTTAGCTCTCACGTGGATGCACTGAGCAGGCTAGATACTGATCCATGGGGAACAGAAAAGAACTGTCAAAAGACATGTGTAACAAGGTTATAGACCGTAATAAAGATGGAAACGTATCTAAAAAGATATTGAAAGCCTTGAATATGCCAGTCAGTACTGTTCAATCACTTTTTTTAAAAAGTGGAAAATTCTGCGATCACTTGATACCAAGGTCAGGTAGACCAAGAGAGATTGCAGCCACAGCTGACAGACAACTGACAGTGTGGTTGTTTCAAGGAGCACAATACCATGATACATGAACAAAAATGAGCTGCGTGGTCAAGTTTCCAGAAAGAAGTTTTTACTGCGCCAATGCCAGTGAGGCGTGTCAAGGTGTTTTCGGGCATATTTTTAACTGGGCTTTATCGTGACATGGGCCCAGTAAAGGTTTTTTTCTGGCAACTCAACCATATAGTTCATTTTTGTTCAAGGATCATTGTATTGTGCTCCTTGAAACAACCACACAGTTGTGGATGCAATCTCTCATGGTCTACCTGACCTTGGCTTGGTATCAAGAGATCCCAGAATTGTCCACTTTTTAATAAGTGATTGAACAGTACTGACTGTGGGGTTTTCTTTGTATACTGAATAAAAGACAGTTTTTTGGCATAATCACTCATATTTTCAATATCAATCCCAAAATTTCACGATTTCTTCCAGGGTATACCACCATATAACTTTTGAGCACAACTGTACATAAAGTCTTGAGGAGAAACTATTAGGCGTTTACACAAAGGGGCCCTTTGGTGACTACACTCTTGAAATTTCCTTCTAGAGAAGCCCATGCTAACAAGAGCTCTCAGCTGCCTACAAAAAAAATACATATTCTTTACGGTCTTTCCTGGATAATCATGTCAGGGGTCATTAATTTACAATATGGCAAGTGAAAATGATTCAGGTTTATGTGGTCTATGTGAGGGGCTGAAAAAACAGGGAGTCAGACAAGGGGAAGGGGGCTGAACACGAATGCACGCCACACTTTTCACATATTTATTTGTAAAAAAATTTGAAAACCATTTTCTCATTTTCCTTCCACTTCACAATTATGTGCCACTTTGTGTTGGTCTATCACATACAATCCCAATAAAATACATTTACGTTTTTGGTTGTAACATGACAAAATGTGGAAAATTTCCAGGGGTATGAATACTTTTTCAAGGCACTGTAAGGCAGCAACATTCACACATGTAAGACGCCCAATGTTAGAGTTGATCTATTCTTCTAAATCAAATACACCTTTGTACCCAGGTACTGATCAGTATTCCAATGTTCCTCTTATCCATCAGTGTCTCTCTCATTCAACTAATGTGACCCCAGTGCTAATGGAGGGGAGCAGGGAAGGTCAAATAAGGATGCCGTGAAGGCGCCCGATGTCCTCCTTATCAACCAATGACTTACTTGGTTGTTAGGACTCTAGCTGCTAGAAGGTTGTAATGATGCACAAAGAAAATCTGTGGCTTTATGTGACTAATACAGCAATGGGCAAACTATGGCCCGCGGGCCGTATACGGCCCGGCGGACCTTTTAATCCGGCCCGCGGAGCAAGGCAAACATCGGCTGTCAGAATGTGTGTAGGCGGGGCAGCGTGAGGAACGTGAGGGGAGCGAGGCTCCTCTCACAGTCCGCCCTGAAGATCGGAACGGCGCGGGATACATTGGCTGTCAGAATGTGTGTAGGCGGGGCAGCAGGAGGAACGTGAGGGGAGCGAAGCTCCTCTCACAGTCCGCCCTGAAGACCGGAACGGCGCGGGAACACGGCGAGAGGAACGCGCGGAGCAAAGGTAAGTGAATTGACACAGGGGGGACTTGGGGACTTACTATGGGGAATGAATTACTATAGGGGGGATGAATTACTATGGGGGGCTGAATTACTATGGGGGATGAATTACTATGGGGGGGCGAATTACTATATGGGGGATGAATTACTATATGGGGGATGAATTACTATGGGGGATGAATTACTGTATGGGGGATGAATTACTATAAGGGGGATGAATTACTATATGGGGGATGAATTACTATGGGGGATGAATTACTATGGGGGATGAATTACTATATGGGGGATGACTTACTATATGGGGGATGAATTACTATGGGGGATGAATTACTATATGGAGGATGCATTACTATATGGGGGATGAATTACTATATGGGGGATGAATTACTATGGGGGATGAATTACTATATGGGGGATGAATTACTATGGGGGATGAATTACTATATGGGGGATGAATTACTATGGGGGATGAATTACTATGGGGGATGAATTACTGTATGGGGGATGAATTACTATATGGGGGATGAATTACTATGGGGGATGAATTACTATATGGGGGATGAATTACTATATGGGGGATGAATTACTATGGGGGATGAATTACTATATGGGGGATTAATTACTATGCTTACTATGGGGGAATATTACTATACTTACTATGGATGACACATACAGATCATTCATCTACTCTTGGTCCGGCCCCCGGGTCCAATATATGAACCCATTGCGGCCCTCAAGTCAAAAAGTTTGCCCACCCCTGGACTAATGGCAGGCTTTATCCACCTGCTGGCTTGTATACAATGTTTGGACAATTTTTATCCATTTTGCAAAGGCACCCCTGAAGAAACTTGAAGGCACCCCAGGGTGCCTTGGCACCCTGGTTGAAAAAGGCTGATCTAGAGTAAGGCAAAAAAAATGCATGGTTCAATTTATTTGTGCAAGGAAAAATCCTTCTTGATTCCCTAAGACAGTCAAGTTTAAGAATCTACGATGTTTTTTCCTATAAATAATATATATATATATATATATATATATATATATCGTTCATCCAACTTTTTTTTTTAGAAACAATCTACATAGTTATCTTATCTTAAAGTAGTTTCTGTGGAAATCTATTTTTCATTTTCACAAGACTTACTGTAAAGAAGCTTTTTCTGTAAGTGGCAGTCAGACCTCTTTTCTTTCAGGTGCAAAGAGTGTCTCTTGTCATCCATCATGACCTTAAAGTAAACAACAAAATTACTATATAGACAATTTATGTGTTCGTACAAGGCAATCATATCCCCATTAATATCATCTTCTTACGGGAGAATGCATTCAATTCAGTTATTTTTTCCTCATAGCTGAGATTCTCCATGCCCCTTATCAATTTTCGGGACTCTTTTCAGTTCCACAAAATCCTTTTTTTGTGAATGATGCCTAAAAATGAAATGGTTTATTCAACATGAGGTGCTGCCATGTTATAATCTAAAAATTGCATTTTTCTGGATTACCAGGTAAACCCTGAAAGAGAAATCTACTGGACCCATGTTAGCTCAGATGCCTGTAGGTTTGCCATGATGTGGAAATACGGTGGAATTTACATGGATGCTGATGTCATCTCACTTCGTCCAATACCCCAGGACCACTTTGTAGCAGCCGAATCTTCCACAGACACTGGCAGTAGTGTTTTTGGACTTTCCTCACATTACCAGTTGGCTTGGCAATTTATGGAGAACTTTGTTGAGAACTACAGGGGAGAAATATGGGGACACCAAGGACCAGGGGTTTTCACTCGTGTTATGAAGAATTTGTGTGACATGCCGGTATTTAAATCTACGGATGATGCCATGTGTTCAAACATCAGTTATTTTCATCCTCAACGTTTCTATCCCATCTTGTATTCATCATGGAGAAGGTACTTTGATGTCTGGGAGAATTTGCCAATTTTTAATTACTCTTATGGCTTACATCTTTGGAATTTCATGAATAAAGAGGATAAATCTATGGAACCTGGAAGTAACACATTGGTGGAACATCTCTACCAAAAACACTGCCCTACTGCCTATGGATATATCTTGAAAAATGTGCAAACTCACATTTAATGAGGTAATGTTGATCTTATAAAAGCAGATTATGGGATTCATTTAAAGAGGACATATAGGAAAACTTTGCAGCATCTCAAGGTCAACATAGACACAATTTTCTATTCCTGAATGCCCCACCAATGAAAATTTCCTTTTGTTTTAGTTGACCATGAATCTGTGAAACCCTGTGAAAACAGGTGAATTATTCCCTCATTCAATGACTGCTATGTCTCTGAGCTCATTGTAGCAATGCCCTCTCAGAATGGAGCATTAAAAGCAGTTTCATACAAAGTCATGTGAAAATAAGTGGACGCCTGTCCAGAGATCATATGAAAAACCTACTGAACATGGGTGCAAGGGATGGTGTAAAGTCACGATTTCAAACATTCTTTCTAGTTTTGAGAAGGCTGAGAAAGGATAGAACCTCTATAGGGGTTTAATATGAACTGCACATCTGTTAAAGTTATTTCCCTGTTATTTCTGGTCCACTGTTACTGGAATGGAAGGAAAGGAAAAATCTTGTTATGGACCACCTGGTGTACTCTAGCAGTCCACAGGACAGGACTCCCAGGGTGCGGAGTCTAAGCCCCAGTCCGCTTGTTCACCAGAGCCCCTGATGGTGGGGATGGGCTTGGAGCGGACAGTGACCAGGTCGCGGCCCCTGAGTACACCCACCTGAGGTAGAGGAATCACCAGAGGTAATGACAGGTAGAGAGCCTGACGTGAAGAGGCAGACAGGTCTGGAGAGTAGCAGCTAATCTGTGCGGGTCGGATGGATAGCTGAGCAATAGCGTGGTCAAACGGGGTCGGTACCAGTAGTTCAGATCAGGTAGGGATATCCAAAAGAGAGGTCAAACTTAGCTAGGGGTCAGAGCAGGAGAAGTCAGCAGGGGTCAGATCCAGGCAGGTCAGCAACGAATCTCAAACAACGGGAACACAGGAACAAGATCAGACCATACGGCAACTTGTGTCTGTGCAGGGCTGGTTTAAGTAGCCCGCCGTGCACCTGACAGGCGCAGCCTAGGTCCTAGTGCCTGCCCAGCACCGTCATAGGTGACGGGTGCGCCTGGGTCCTAGTGCCCTGCTGCCTGCATGTCTTGACAGACACCTACGCATGTGCAGACCCATGCGTCGCGATGGTCCCTGACAAATCTACTCAACCAAGATTGAGAAAGCAAAAAACATTTTCTAGCAGAATGTAGAAGAGAAGTTAGGCTCTGATACACAGTTTGTGCAGACAATGCAGCTACACCACTTCCCTCTGGATGTAAGGAACACATTAATACTAGATGAAGGCTGAGCTGGTGTAGAAGACCCTTCATGGTGTCATAAGTGTGCTCATAGTTTGCAAAATTCCAATGGTGTTGGGAAGCAAGCAAATTATTTGCTTCCTACTTTAGCAGCACTGAGACATTCAGGAGGCTTTTCCAAAGTTCTCTTGATACCATTTGGACTGGAAATGAAGGGGATATTTAATCTTTGACTCTCTGATCTATCCACAATGAAAAAATGTTTGTTCTTGAGCAATAGTTGAATGGGGGTCCAGAAATGTTTTTTTTTCATGAGGACCCTCTTGAAAAATGCAAACAAGTGAAAAGTTTTAAAACTCTTGTTAATTATTTATTGTTGTCTGGCCTTCACGATTTCCTGTCTTGACGACACCATGTGTATCTGTATGTGTAATGGGGTCACCTGGGCAGGCGGTAAATGTAAATTTCCCCAATGGGGAGACATGGAAATAAAATCACTGGCAGGTGTTCTAACTCCTGCCAATTCTAGAAGAATAAAGCTCATCTCTCTTTCATTCCCCTGATCACATATACTTCACTTCCCACCTGTGCAGGTACTGTAAGAGCACTGGAAAATTAAAGTGGTGCACAGACACATCTCTTCTTGTTTCTGAATTTTTATAGCACTTCAAATGCTACTTAATGGACAGCAAAGCTGGGCTTACATGGATTGAAAATTGGACAGTTCAGCAGGAACCGACTAAATTTCAATCCATGTGTTGCCACTGTGGTCGAACAAAAGTCAATCTACCAATCGACTTCTGTTTAACTTTCCTGTTATTTTCTCATTCAGTCAGCACTGCAGCTGGGGGTAGTCCTGCATCCACATCGATCGAGTGTGTGAATTTGGGAATTGGGTCCATTTTTTCATTCAACCCACTGGTTCAATGAAAAAAAACGGACCCATCTATGGCCAGCTTAAGGCTCTTGAAAAACAATAGGTAATAATTGGTCCTTGGTCAATGCAACCTCTGCATTGTAGGCATTGGTCTCAATAAAGTCTTTCAGTGCAGAGGAAACCTTGGGGGACATGGTCCCCAACTAATGTTCACCACAAAAGACGGGGGGAAACAGTTTTTGCTCACATGGCAGGCCTAATTACAGTCCTCAGTCACAAAACAGATCCTACTTCCATGAAAGCCACTAGAGACCTCTTCCTCTACTGAACAAATAAATCATAGATTAGGACCTCTGTTACACACTACGGTGGGAGGAAGAGATCCAGAAAGCTGTAAGAACTCCTTACTACCTACCTTATCAAATTGATTGATGTACAAGAGTTGTGTCTATTGCAACTTGATTTGTTGTAGAGCTGTCTATAATTTTGTAATAACCCTTTTTTAAATAAATAAATACTTAAAAAGAAAAATTGATATTTAATTTTAGATTGACTTTTGTAAGTTGTATCCTTTGGTGGTTTCATTTTTCATTTCAGAGACTTATATGGCAAGCTTTCTCTGCAGTGTTTGCCTCTATGCCTCTTCAAAAGGGCCAACACAAGGATATTGGTTATCCCTCTCTGCTGAACTTCTCAATTATTTGCTATATGGGAAAATCATTGACAGGCCGTGACACTATTTGGCTTGCCAATGGCTGTAGTATGGTGTGGTTTCTCATCACTAAACTGACTTAAGTGAGAGACAAAATTAAAATGTTTATCTTGGGAAGAATTAACATTTAATACTGTAGTTACGTATAGTTACATAGTTAGTCTGGCTGAAAAAAGACAAAAGTCCATCCAGTTCAACCAAAAAAAAATTATAATCCTATACCCACAGTTGATCCAGAGGAAGGCAAAAAACCCAGCAAAGCATGAACCAATTTGCTCCTGCAAGGGAAAAAATTCCTTCCTGATCCCCCGAGAGGTAATCGGATATTCCCTGGATCAACTTTACCTATAAATGTTAAGATCCAGTGTTTATCTGTGTATCCAAAAAAGAATCCAGGCTTTTTTTTTAAAGTAATCCACTGAGCTGGCCAGGACTAACTCTTGAGGGAGTCTATGCCACATTTTCACAGCTCTCACTGTGAAGAAACCTTTCCATGTTTAGAGATTAAATCTCTTTTCCTCCAGACATAAAGAGTGCCCCCTTGTCCTCTGTGATGACCTCAGGGGGAATAACTCTACACTGAGTTCACTATATGGACCACTGATGTATTTATACATGGAGATCATATTCCCCCTTATGTATTATACATGGAGATCATATCCCCCCCCCCTTTTTTATTATACATGGTGATCATATCCCCCTTATGTATTATACATGGAGATCATATCCCCCTTATGTATTATACATGGTGATCATATCCCCCCTTATGTATTATACATAGAGATCATACCCCCCCCTTATGTATTATACATGGAGATCATATCCCCCCTTATGTATTATACATGGAGATCATATCCCCCCTTATGTATTATACATGGAGATCATATCCCCCTTATGTATTATACATGGAGATCATATCCCCCTTATGTATTATACATGGTGATCATATCCCCCCTTATGTATTATACATGGAGATCATATCCCCCCTTATGTATTATACATGGAGATCATATCCCCCTTATGTATTATACATGGAGATCATATCCCCCTTATGTATTATACATGGTGATCATATCCCCCCTTATGTATTATACATGGAGATCATATCCCCCCTTATGTATTATACATGGAGATCATATCCCCCTTATGTATTATACATGGAGATCATATCCCCCCTTATGTATTATACATGGAGATCATATCCCCCTTATGTATTATACATGGAGATCATATCCCCCTTATGTATTATACATGGAGATCATATCCCCCTTATGTATTATACATGGTGATCATATCCCCCCTTATGTATTATACATGGAGATCATATCCCCCCTTATGTATTATACATGGAGATCATATCCCCCCCTTATGTATTATACATGGTGATCATATCCCCCCTTATGTATTATACATGGAGATCATATCCCCCCTCATGTATTATACATGGTGATCATATCCCCCCTTATGTATTATACATGGAGATCATATCCCCCTTATGTATTATACATGGAGATCATATCCCCCTTATGTATTATACATGGTGATCATATCCCCCCTTATGTATTATACATGGTGATCATATCCCCCCTTATGTATTATACATGGAGATCATATCCCCCCTTATGTATTATACATGGAGATCATATCCCCCTTATGTATTATACATGGTGATCATATCCCCCCTTATGTATTATACATGGTGATCATATCCCCCCCTTATGTATTATACGTGGTGATCATATCCCCCCCTTATGTATTATACGTGGTGATCATATCCCCCCTTATGTATTATACATGGAGATCATATCCCCCTTATGTATTATACATGGAGATCATATCCCCCCTTATGTATTATACATGGAGATCATATCCCCTCTTATGTATTATACATGGAGCTCATATCCCCCTTATGTATTATACATGGTGATCATATCCCCCCTTATGTATTATACATGGAGATCATATCCCCCCCTTATGTATTATACATGGAGATCATATCCCCCTTATGTATTATACATGGAGATCATATCCCCCCTTATGTATTATACATGGAGATCATATCCCCCTTATGTATTATACATGGAGATCATATCCCCCCTTATGTATTATACATGGAGATCATATCCCCTCTTATGTATTATACATGGAGATCATATCCCCTCTTATGTATTATACATGG